TCCCTGTGCGTGGTGGGTGGCGAGGGGAGTCGGGCTGCCTCAGCTGTGGGAGAGCGCGCTCGCCGTCAGCCATCCACCTCCCCGCTCCCGCTCAGCCCGTGCGAATTGTGCCGAGGGTATCGCTCGCCTGCTCGGGGCTGCCGAGCCTTTAAGGAAATGTTTTTGTTTATGCAGCCCTGCCAGATTTCCTATGCTTCTTGGCACGGGGTCACAGCTTTCATGCCTCCTTGTCTGTCTTTATTAACACCAATTTCTTTTTATCACTGCGCAGCGCCGTAGAGTTTCTCAGCGGGTTTTATGTTCCAGCCAGACTGTGTGTAAATTCTCAGCAATGCTACCAACAATGCCAGAAACGGACGCTTTTTCAAGCAGATGCTGTTTCTGGTTAAGGAATCCATCAACACGAGCCAGGCCCATGGTTTCTAAGGACAGTTGTTTAATCCCGACCCCAGATCTGGGACTTTTATGCTGTTCTTAGATATGTTTTCTTTTCTGTCTAGTAACCGTTGCCCCTATTCCCTCTTTAAAGACAAACAAAAGCGTGAACTGAACCTGGGGAAGGGATGGCAGAAGTGGGGAACCAGGACAAGGTCCCTGCCTGTCGCTCCTTTTCCCTCTGCCCTGGGGGAATGCCAAATCCTGCTGTTCCCTCGGGATGGTCCTGCCCTGCCAGGATCAGGACAGAGCCAGGGCATTCAGAAATGCACATGACACCACGGGTGACATCTCCTCTTTTTCTGTTTCCACCAGTGGTTTAAGCCCTGCAAGCCCTGGATGCTCCTCTCCACCCAGCACCCAGCAGGAGCAGCCCCACAGCGAGCACGACGCAGGTCACGTCTCGTCTCAGAATGCAAGACGTTTCTGCAGGTAAGAATAATTTCTGTATCTCAAATGCTAGGAATTTCCTGTGAACCAGAGGGATCAGTTAAAGGAAGGTAGGCAGATACTCTGCATGCATAATTGCAGATAAACATAGGCTGCAACATATATTGCTCAACAAAAAGCATGCAAGAGACTTCTGATGATGAGCAATCTGGAGCAATGCAGCTCAGAAACAGCTTTGTTTTATTTTTTATTTTTTTTAAATGAATTTTTTTGAGTCCTTTCTCCCCATAGTAGGTATCTTTGCATATTTCTTAAAGGGCAAAAGGAAAAAAAGCTCACAATGAGTCATTAAACTTTCAAATGAGTCATCTGGCTTTCAGTAAAGCATGTGTAAAAATATTACTAATTTACAAACAATATCCAGTGCAACACAATGGATCCAAAAAAGATGAATCTAAAAATGAGGCAATACCATAAAAGACACAAGGTCGGGTCAAATTCGGCCAAGGGATCAACCAATCCAAACGTTCCCATGCCTGCTTTTCTTTCCTTCTTTTTTTTTCTTTTTAAACCCTCAGAGAATATTATTTTATACAAATAAATATTGCCTATGCAGTGCTAGCAACACAAACAGGCCAATGCCTTGGGGACTAGAGGGGATCCTAGCAGGAGGCAGAAATAAACACGAAAGAAATGAGTGTATTTTTTTTTTTTCTGTTAAAACTGCGATGCAAAAACTAAACTAACAGAATAAATATTGAAAAGTAAATCCCTGCTTTAAAATGCTCAGCTGAAACACTCGCCAGCACTGAAACAGAGCTGGACTTGCATAAGGCAAAATACTACCAGCTGATAGTGAGACTAGAAAGTGTTTTTAGTAACAAGTAAGGACAATTCAGGTTTGATTTTACTTTTACCGTGCCTCCCCTCAGGAAAGAACCAATTTCTGCAGAAACTGCATTGTCTCTTCTTTCCTGATTTGTTTGCTCATTTTTCACACCTGCCCTGATTTTGGCAATTTCACTGCATCTGTCACATATTCTTCCATAAACACCTTTAGAGTTGGGAAAATGAGAAACTTGGAAAATTGGGAAAAGTAATTCGGGGATATGATATTAGAAGGCTCTAGCAGAATTCAATTATTTGTTTCCTCTTTGCATTAGAAGACTTTAAAAGGTTGAAACTCTTTGCGTGTCCTTCTGATGAGTGGACGAAACTCTCAAAGACCCAGTTGCGTTGCTGAACTGGTGAGAAACCCCCAAGGGCAGAGCTGCAAGGCACATCTCCCAAGCTAAAAACCTCTTTAACTTGGGACTTCCCTGAGCTGCCAGCCAGCTGGGGAGAAAGGGGCCCAGGAGGAGCTCCAGAAAGGAGCAGCAACCCCTACACAGCAGAGGAACAAGGGAGCACACCGGCAGATCTTCCCTGGGGAGAGAAGACCCATTTTCCCTCTGCAGTACCACAAAACATAGTGACAGACTATACAGATTTGGTTAAAAAACCAGTATATTTTTAAAGATTGGGATTTGCAGTTTTGGAGTTTCCTCCCCTGCAATTCATATTCAAGGATGACCCAAGTGCCCATTAACAATCAAACCACTGTGCAGCAACCCGGGAGCCTCAGCAATTATGAAGATAATGGTGCCCTCCTCCTCCTCTGCCTCCTCTCCTGAGGAATGGGGGAAGGGAGGAGCACAGGGAAAAGAAAATCAGCAAATAGAATGATAATGTCATTCCCTCTCACCGACAGCAACGGAAAGCTGCAATTAGACTTCTCTGATCAAAATGCTACATAAAATTCCACAGAATTTTTAAAGTAGATCTAAAGCCCCAGGAATACTTGGCTCATCTTTACTGAGAAGTCACCTGCTTGTGAAACGCAGTGCACGTGCGAGGTGGCTGTGGGCACAGACAGGGCACGGAGCCATCCTGACCCTTTGTGGGAGTTATCTGGAGCACCCCAGCACCACGAGGCGTGAGACCATCTGCCCTTTGAGCATTTAGACAGTTCCATTGCTGCAGAGTCTCAGCACCCACAGGAACTCGTGAATTCTCCTTCCACCACCCAAACCCAGGCAGAGCAGTGCTGCTGCCCCAATACAGGCTGTGCCTGTGCTAGCAAGCAGAGCTGCAGGGAGTCTTGCTCCACAGAAGGTCCAGCCCACTCCCAGGGACCCAACATGTGTGTGCAGTGAGGGAGCACTCGCAGTGCTCCCAGAGGGTACCTCTCTATTTAATTTCATCTGAAAAGAACCCCGTTCGCAGGCAGAGACCCCAGCATGCTGTGGCCCAAAGCAGGCTAAGCAGGGATCATCAGGATGGCTTCAAAAGCACAATCCTGATCCAAACTGAAGCAATGATGCAGTGGCACCTCTTGTCCAAGGGCTGGGAGATAACTGTGATGGGCGAGGGAAGCGATGCTCAGTCCTTGCCCAGGAGCAGACTGCTTTCTATCAGCCCTATATTAAGTTTTCCAGGCAGCCATCAGTTACAATGTGTATTACGTGAGAAGAGGGAGTGGATTTTTTTTAGTCAAAGCTCTCAATTTCCTCCCTCTTTCTTTCATCACTTTTTTTAGTGTTCTCTGCAGCAAGGTGCTGTTCACCCCTAATACTACTGGTTCACTGCTGCTCTACGCTGGTGTAATTCAGGGAATTCACAGCAGAGCAGCAAAGAATCAGCCCCTGAATTAAGGCAATAGAGCTTCAAAAGCCTTTGGCTGTCTCCTGCAAAGTGCTGCAGCCAGCCAGGACCAAGTTTCCTCTGCAGGGGAAAGATAAAGAACAGTAAGACCAACCATCAGATGCCAAAATGTGGTGACTTAGAGCTCAGACACCTGGAAGAGGTTCCACCGGATGCTTTTTGGGGCTCAGATTTTTTGCTGAACCTGAAATACAGATATTTGGAAAGCAGCTGCATCATGACATCTGAAGGGCACTCACTGCAACCTATTGCCTAATCTTGTGTGATGATGAACTGGGGCAGCCACCAATACTCACTTAGGAATTGGCACCCGAATTATTGTCCCATCCACTTCTGGGTTCAGGTTCATGCCGCTTTCCCTTATAGCCTTGGTCGCTGCAGCTGTGCTCTGTAAAACAGATCAAAAGGTAAAGGGAATTAGGAAATAATCATTCCCATATGCCAGAACTCTGTCAATAGTTGGCAATCCATCTCCACGGAACATGGAAACATTTACTTCTGTTACCAGTAAGATCAGGAAGTTACATTGGTGCATAGAGCTTTGATCAAACCGAATGGGAAACTACGGCTGCGCTCGGTATCGGGGTAGGGGGACAAGAAGGGGGGCAGAGAGGAAGGGAAGCAACAACAAAAGAAAACTGTTTTGCTTCTTTGAAACTATTCGAATGGTTTGAGGCAACGCAGAGTGAAACCACAATAAATTCCCAAGGCATAGCCTGACTGTGGCGAAGGAGATGAAAGATTCGGAGCATTTAAAAATTCCAGTTGAATGTTTCCCACTAGAAATCACACGGTGCCAATTTAGAAACGTTAACTAACTTAACCACTTCAGCACTACAGCCTAACCACATTACAGCAGGGCAGTAGCAGTTGGCTGAGAAATCAAACAGCGCCTGTGCCCGGCTCTATGTTTATGTTATAGCTTCTCACTTAGGATTAACTTCTCCAAACTCCAGCACTGCCAGCTGACACTCTGCTCCGCTTAAAAGGTGGGTGCACAGGCTTGTCTGTAACTGCAAAGTGATTAAAAGGCTTCCTCCCCCCTCCCAGGGCACTGGCTACCTTCACACAGTGTCAGCCTTTATGGTTAAACCAGAGTTTGGCCGGGAGCTCGCACCGTGCTCTGCCAGGTTCCTTCATCCTTTGACATTGACAATAACAAGACCGAGGGAGTTTGTATTCTTGAGGCATTCACGTGGCGTTTCCTACAAGGTGTGTTGCTATTTCTGATGCTCCTTCCTGTCATTAACTTTATCTCCAGGCTGCTGCAATAAACTCTATTCATCCAGTCCAGCTTTTGTCAACCGAGGCACAAACTACAGCTCTGCCTGTTTGTTTAGCTCTCTCACGTGTGACATCACTGGGTGAAATGAATGCTGTGCTAGTGTCCTGTAAAGACACAACTGCTGTCCTCTAGAACATAACAAGGGCAGAGAAAATGGAACCAAGATGATCTCAGCAGGTTAGGAATGTGAACGTGTTATTCTACGGACAGTGCTTGCTCTGTAGGAAGGAGATGCTCAGTAAAAGCTGTGTTGTTTAACACAGGTACTGAAGGAGACAGAGGAAGGGGGAAATACTGCAATATTGCCCCCATCCTCTTGCAGCCCATTAAATAAATAGCCATGCTTAAAACACATAATCTTGTTTGGTTTTATAACACCTGGGCAAAGAAAATTTGGCCCTGCAAGTCCTTTTCTATGATTATTTTATTTCCCAGACTCTTCAGGCATTTTTATTGGCTTTTCAATGCCATGAAGTACTATATGCTGTAAATAATGACATCAAGTAAACACATCTGTAATGGTTTTTAAGAGTTCAGTCTATCCATAGAGCAGTTATGGTATAAAACAAGTGCACTGAGGGAACTAGTTCTAGTTCAAATGGGAAATGGTTCTTTTAGAAAGCAAACACAGGTCATGGTATATACAGTGATATGTAATTTCTCACAGGCCCATTTCTCCTGCTTGGACACGGGCTGTCACGGAGTGACTTCCCCAGCCCTCTCAGCTCCAGCGCTCTGAGGGACCTCGGTGCACTCGCTGATGAGGGGCTGTCACTCCTCAAAGCCATTATACACACTGGATACACTTTAAGAAACACTCAGGCATCAAGTGCCTTACACTGACCTCCTCCGAGACTTTGCTGACTTAATTAATTGGGGAAAGCCTTTGCAAAATAAATAGAGATAAGCTTTGGAAAACCTCCAGCCCTGGAGCAGGATGAATAGCTCACCCTGTGCTCATGCCTGCTCCTGGCTGTGTGAGCCTGCTGCAGGGGACCACTACTGCTTGATCCCAAGGTGGGATTCAGATTTGCTGCCTCATTGAGGGGCAAGTCTAACCAAGGCTCCTGGAGAAAATTAAGGGAAGTTGGCTCTTCCAGAGGGCAGGTCAAAGCACCTAATTTGGGTGATGGGCAGCACGTAACGCTCGTCTGACCCTGTGCTGCTGTGTGTGAGCTGCTCTGTGTGCTGGGCAGGGCTGGATTGTTGCTCACCCCACGCAGTCAGCAGCCAAATATCGCTTCTGTTCCGTGTCAGCGGCAAAGCGACGCGCAGCCCGGCCAGAGCTCGCAGCCCTGCCAGGTTTGACTGACGCAGTCTAAATGTTCCTTTGCTCAGCATCAACCTGTTTGTTCCTGTGGTAATTATCTCCCCTCACAATGCCTTTGGTTGTGTGTCCTTACCTCTGGAAAATCAGCCATGTTCACTATAACGAGCTGCGGTGACTTCTGTGAGATCTGCCCCAGCTGGTTCAGCGGAAACTTCCCGTCTTTTGTCATCACCATTATGTGATCAAGGGCCCCTGAAAAGAACCAAACAGGGGAGTTTCAGTATCACACAGCAGTTCACATCCAGGCTGAAGAAAAACGTGTATGCAGTGTCCCACTTCCCTTCTGGTATGCAAAATATACATGTTACAAAAGAAAAGAAACCCCCATGTTTATTCAGACTTCAGGTGCTGTTTGTGTTCACGCATCCCCTGTGGTATCTGCAAGCTAAATATTTCAAAGCTACTCTAAAGCACAAAAAACATGAAAACAAAACTCTCGTTTGTTTTTGTTACTAGAATAGGAAAACTGAGCAAGATTGTTAAGAATTAAAAGGAAATAATTATTTTTTAATTCCTAGAACTTAAAGAAGATCAAAATGTTGTTAGAAAAATCAAGACTATTGTCTTTAACTTAGCAGTGCTCTCTTAAACCCCTCATTTATTTTTTTTTCCAGGTCCCAAGAGGAGGTGTTGTACACTGCCTAATTTAAAGTATTCAGTTTCTCCCTGAGCTACTCTTAATCTGCTCTCTAGTTTCTGCTGCAAAATGTTAACAGGCCAAAAGGCACATGGGACGAGAGGTACTTTATCAGTGCAATTAAAAAAAATACCTATGGTTAAAATAAATAGTTAAGAGACTGAGCTACACGTTCCAACTCCATTAAAGACTGAAGTGCCTCTGCCAGAGCTGGGGTGGTGAATGATTCAAGTTTGGTCATTGTTTTATGTTAAACTTTATCCCTTGAAACTTGATACTACTTACAAATACGCGTGGTCGGAGTGTTCTAGTAACTGAAGCTCAGTCAAATATATCCACGTTTCTTCCTAAAGCACCAGATTCACTAAGTGAACAAAGCTTGTAAAGGTCACTAACCACAAAGACACATGGCAAAAAAAGTTTGTATATGCCAGACACCGGCCTGATGGCAATTTCCAAAAGGCTAATTTAATGGCAATTGGATTTTTCCTGCCCTACTGCACCATGAGCTGCCAACCTGCTTCTTCATCACATCTGCAAACAGTTCCCTTAGAGGCTTTTGACATCTCCCACTTACAAAAGCCATTTCCAGGAAACTATTAACAAAAATGGATTCTTCCTGGTCAAGCTCAGGGTGAAGAAAACCTTTAGCTGGGGATGTCCAGGTTGTAGTAATCGGGTGCCCAGTGAATAACTCAGTAAAAAGAAAATGAATTTTGAAAAAAAATCCGAGTTCTCAGTTACTGGGACTGGTAACCTTATTTACAGGCTTTATTTAACCTTATTTAGCATCAGACAAGAAAGTTACCAACCTGTTGAGGTTCTAACACTGAGATTTCTGCTGAAATCTTCTTTCAGAGCTTCCACCACTGCCTGCATGTCTTCACTGGCTTCCTCCAGATTGATAATATCCTCAACTAGGGCAGCACTGATATTCACTCTGGCTTGACTCTGCCCTTTACCTTTAGCTGCAGATTACACACAAAATTCATTTCTTTTTTCTGACAACAGTTAGTTGTTGCATTAGAAAGCAGAAAGAAGATGTTAAAACCTCTGTTAGATGCAGAATTGAGTCTCAGATAAACCAAAGTATTTTAAAATGAGTAAATAACCCAGCATTTGAGTATATAAGCCAAAATAGATGTGTAGGTCAGGTTGTGGGCACTGACTCCAGCCTGGATTGTGATGATTGCTGCCTAATGTCCCAGCCCCAGCTCTGGGTGCTGCCTCTCCCGGGGAAGGGCTACAGTTTCCTGCACACTGCAACACCCACAGGCAAACCAGCTCCTCCAGAGCTCTCTTCTGCCTAAGTTAGATCAATACTCGTACACAAGCCAAAAGGGATTAAAAGAAAAAGACAATCTGGCAACAACAGGGGTTGCAAACACCAGGAAAAAAGCTGCTGCCGTTACCTTTTTTAGTAGCCATCTGTCTGGTGAGCAGCATCTGATGGACACAGTGCCTGCAGCCATCCAGAAGCAGGGCCGGGCAGCCTGCGGGAGCCTGCGGCAGCCCCCGTGTCACCGCCAGCGCGGAACGAGAAAGCAGGGAGGGCAGGTGACGAAATCTCAGTGCCAGAGACATCCTTTATGGCTCTCCTCTAACCCACCTGGAAAAGAGAAAAGGCACGTGGTCCACCCCGGGTGCTCAGAATGAACACGTGCAGGTCTCGGTGGCACCTGTCAGTGCAAGGTGGCAGCTGAGCATGGTGGGCAGCGCGGTGGGGGTGGTGCAGTGACCCGCGGGTAAGTCGGGGCAGGGGCTGGGCGGCTGGCAGCCCGTACCCGGGTGTGACCTGCGCAGCCTTTGCACATCCATCCAGAGGGGCACGGGCCTGGGACACACAACCCCCGGCTGCCAAGCGGGAACGGCTCCTCAAAGTGTCTGGAACTGGCACATCAGGTGAGG